GACTCTCGGCACGGGCGACGCATTCTTCGTCTTTTAATCTGATCTGACAGACAGAATCACATACTTAACGTGGAGTGGGACTGCGATACTAGATACAGCCGAAGGCATTACAGAGAATAGTTGCCTTATTCAAAGATACCTGAGATGGCGTTATATCCTTGTTGAAAAGAGGTAAAAATAGCAGTAATGGTAAAAAACCGTTGCCCACAAACTGCTCCACAAACTTCAAACCAACAGCCACACGCAGTTACTGCTATGGCAACGCCAGTGTCCTCAGTAATTGTTGGACACATCACTGTGCCATAGCAACGAAACTCAGAAACTTGGGGACAGGATAATTCGGCAATGTTGCGACCGTGTTTCACAACCTGAAAGCAGCACACACACACACACACAAAAACACCAGTCACGTGACATCTACCGCACAACACTCGCTCCCAACAAGCGCCACTGCAGGTATGGCCAAGAGACTGCAGCAAACTGGCCGAGCGCGCTGTGCTGCCGCGAGTGGGCGAAACTGCAACTCCGATCCATTCTTACGTACGTGCCGTGCCAAAAACATTTATCCTCCAAGCAATCGATTTTCATAAAAGGCAATTTCAGTGAACTCTCGATGATCCGGCTACAGTTAATCCGGATGCCGAATAATCCTCATCAAAGTATGAAAAACGCTGTTCACAGTTGAGTACATACTTTAAAAGACGCGTGGAATTTAGGAAGGCGAATGAGTCACTTGTCTGTTCAGACAAAACTTCACAGTTTCTTCAAACTTGCATTATTACGTTCAGAAACAAGTGCATCTGACTCCGGTATCGATGAATGAATGTACTGTCTTTTTGTAGTTTTAAAATAAAAGCTCTACAGTGGATTCTTTATTTATTTTCATCAGCACTACTTATACTACGTATATCATTAAATTTTCCATTTATTTGTGTCCCATTTTTTCTTCTACGGCTGCCTTTTGCTTCACTAATTTGGATTATTGCTTAATCCGGAGGACCTCCCCCCACAATTCGCGAGAGAGTACTATTATCACTACATACAGAAGCCATTCCAATAGTGGTATTATCTGAAACGGGAGGAACATGTAGCACGAATGGGTACAATGCATACAGAATTTCGGCCGCTAGAACTGAGGAAAAGAGACAACGTGTGCCACCTTATTCCCGGTTACATAAGAGGTAGGTCGTACCTTAACGAGCAAAGCAACTGTAAGCTTCCGCAATTTCTGCTGGTTGAGCCAGTCCAGTCCTCACCAGCAAAGTCGTGCTTTGTTTCAACACTTATGATCATATTTTATTCTTTCCAGACTTTTGCGTGTACTGAAATGGCGCCTCCTCTTTGACGAGAGGACGGGTCCGACTACTACAGGTCATTCACCCTCCACTGGGGGGTGACTGTGGTCTGCAGACTGCATTGCCCGGGGTTGGGTCGGTGGACTGTGACTGTTCGTTGTGTGCGACGTTTCGTCCGAGTGACACAGAAGGGCAACATAAAGCACGAAAAATGTGTCACGTTCGCGGGACTGTGCTTTAGTGCGTGCTACGATCAGCTTCACACCGGTGGATACGAGTCCGATGCTTTCCTCAGGATTCATCCGTTTAACCCTGCAACCTGTGCGCCGACATGGTGGGAAGCACCAGCAGTGGATGCATAATCGCCCACTGATCATTACAGTGCGACAGCGTTCGGAATGTATGCGCATTGATTTGACGAGTTGCGCCACGCTCCACAGGGGGCAGCACTGGCGTGAAAGTAACTGCAGTGTTGCAGATATGTCAGGCGCAATATGAGTGGCCGCAACGCGCTTCGCAGCTGCGGAAACACGACGACAGGCGCCTAGCAAATCAACTACATAGACCGCCAGTCCTCACTGAGGCTTTCGTGGTTTTCCTCAGTCCATCCAGGTAAATGTGGACATTAGAGAACGTCCGCTCCTCACACATCCCTTTCCATTCACTAATAATCAGGGCAGTGGAGGAGCTGAGGTTGTCAGTCGCTGGCTCCTCTCCACAGAGGCTCGGGTTCAGTCCCCGTAACTTCATGTGAGTGGCATGGGGCACGGGTTTCCAGGCGACGTTTCGGCTCCTTCTGTCTTGGGCTCTTTTTCAGACTGCCAGTATCCAGACTGCATGACGTCGAATGGTGAGACGCCAGTGATCGATTGACTGGCATTTACCTTGAGGGACTGAAGAAGACCTCGTAAACCTCAATCACGATGTGGTGTCGCGACAGAGATTCGAAACGAGCACCTCCCAGTACACGTGTAGAGCATTACCTCTACAGCAACCTCATCCACATCCGCACCTGAGGCGTGCGGCAGCCCTGACCAGGCATATTATCGCATCCTCTGTCCCTAAGTTGGCGTGGTCACACCGTTCTACCATCCCACGTTATATGCCAAGTAAGGGCTGTGTAAAGATGACAAAGTGCAACAGCCGTCGCTAGGCAACAGCTCTGTGAACGCCCGGTTTCCCCGGAAACAAGAACACGCAATAATAGAAGAGACGTTTTCTGTGCAGTCCGGGCCGGGGCTATGTAACGAAATTTGGTATTTCAAAAAAGTGTGGTTTCAGGTATTTATACAAGTATGTATAGCTGTAGTTATAGTGACATAGGTAATGCCCGTGTGCAGCAGGGTTTGTGCTGTTCTGTGTAGGTAGTGGCCTTGCGAAGGGCTGATCCCCCGTCCAAGGAACCCTACCGACTGTGTATAGGATTACGAAACTGAAAAAGCGGCCAGGGCCCAACAAAGGGCTCTAGAGCCACTGATGCATGAATAAAATGAATGACTGACGGCCTTCAGAACATTTATTAGAACCCACTCCCTATTCAGAAGTGAGCGTTTGAGCGCCAACGTTAAACTAACCCTCCCTAAGGCACTGACCAGATCAGTAGCGACTTCTGCTTGCCCCGCCTGCGAATTAGTGGCAGACAGCTACCTCCGCACCACTGGAAATTTTCCAAGGTGCACACCGGTTCGTGACTTGCACGCGGCTTTGAACCTTCCGTATGTGTGCAGTCATACATATTCACGGGGAGGAACATGTTCGCGGTATAGGGCAAGACGAAGCCAGACAGAAAATATAAGTAACAGATAAAGCTACCCCTGTAACAGGCCGTGGAGGCCTATAAGTCTGACACGTGGAGTCTCCCACATTATCTAGACAATCGGCTCACAGATGGCGGTGAGGTTGTCAGCCTTACGGGCCAGCCTCCCTTTACACCCAAGAAGATTCCTTGTATGCATTTCAGTTAGAGGCTGAGTCGGCCCCAGGGCCATAATGCGGCTGGAGGGATTAGGTCAATTGAAATATCAAGTGACGTCATCAGTAATCGAACTAGCGACCTTCCGTCTTGTAGTACAGTGCCACAACCAACTACGCGACCGCGTGCCTCCCAGACTTAGAAAATACGAGAGGCTTAAAGTTGGTGGTGGTCAAGCTAACGGCCGTTCAAATGACTAAGCTGCCGTTGTAGCATTAGATAAGTAAGACAGACATCAGTTTTCCAAACCCTGGACTGACAGAGGACTTGTATATAGTGCACAAGAAGATTTTCTAAGACACAAACCCAAGATGTCACATAAGAACAATAACCGCAGGGGTATAGTTTCAAAAGAAAAGAGAAATCTCTGGTCGGGCCCTCTAGGGGCTTGGTGCCAAGACGAAGTGATTAGCGGTAAACGGCCTGTCTTGTCTGAGTTGTTCAGTCAGTTGGGAGTTGCAGTTTTGTGAAGTGAGAAGCTGGGAGCTGAGGCCGGGGACAGTTCGGGAACGTCCGCTTTTTTAAGCCGCTACCAAGCAATGGCTAGTGAAGACTGAAAAGACTTACGTGTTTTGTAGACACAGTGATCTCCCGAATGTGTAACCCAGTGATTCTGTCGAAGTTATTTCTATCAACGAATGTAAGTGTCCAATAAATCCGATTACCAGTCGAAACCCGTTTGTAGCCACTCAGTCACGTGACAATACCATATGTAGAATCTCATTCAGCCTAACTCGTAACAGCCATCAATTCTCCCACTAAGAGCACACTGCTAACAATATATCTCAGGCGCAGACCGAATAATCCCTTGAAAAGAACTGCACATGGCTCTGTTCTTGTCCAAGAGGAACTAGCAAGACAACAGGTCGCCGTTTTGCCGTGCCCTCCGTACTCACCTGATCTCGCACCGTGCGATTTCTTTCTCTTTCACCGCGTGAACGCAAAGCTACGTGGTAGTAGATTTCAGCCGTCCGAGGGAGTGGTAATTGCCACAAGAGACGCCCGTTTCAGCAATGTTTTCGGCAGCTATATCAACGTTAGCAGACTTGCATAGCGGCCAACGGCAACTATTTTGGGGACCGATGTGGATCTGCGTAAGTGTATGTGAATACCTTGTAATATGATACGATGAAACCACATTCCACGAACTTAATGACTCTACCACGTATTTAAAGCTAGAAGCCAAGCACAAGACATGAGCATGCAGCTGCAGAAACAAGCCCCA